CTTTTAACATGATTGATTCGATTATATCGCGATGCAAAACTGACGATATATCACGATATATAATTTCTAATATCGCCCAGTCCTACTCTTGAATATCAAAATGTGTATTTAAATAGCCTCTTTTTGACCTGTATGATTTCGTCTGAAATACTTTTACTATAATCGAACTTTTTCCAGTTATTGCATAAATTTCACTTTTTTCTTCTGATGCGACGACCATTTGCTAAGTGCAGAAAAGGAAGATTATGTAATTGTTGCATCTTTATTCCAGCGCCATCTACCGTAACTTTTTTGTAACACTCAGAGTTAAGCAAGCTGTCATAAGGTTGTAGTGGTGCTCTCTCTCTTGTCGTATTCCAATGTTAGCATTTACCAGATTTAGAAAATAACCAATTTTAGGTCTTACCAGCGATATTACAGTCCACATTAATTAGAAGGGAAGATTCATGGATAAATTACTCCCCTTTAGTTACCCCGCATCAACAATAGTAATGTTCTTCAATATTCCTATTCTTTTATCTGTTAATAAAAAAAATTCTCCAAGTTGTATAAATGTTACTACAGAGTATTTAATTTTGTTAACTATGTACAAATCAGTAAAATAAAAAAAATTAGAATTTCTTCCTCCAACAATCACAAGATTAAAAAAAAATTTATGTAAATATTAATGAAATCTAATCTAAAGTATTTACTTATAGAAATTTGAAAAATTTTTTGAGAAAGTTGTAATAAATTTTACTTTTTCTATAACTTAATGTAATTTAAGTACCAATGACTTAGGGATCTCAACTGCTTTCAGTAATCAAAATTTAACCTCAATTCAGCTGTGTGAGTTAGGTAGACTTAAGTAGCTTCAAGGCAAGTAAATATCTGTCAAAATATTACCTTATTTCAACTAAAGCCCTTGATTATCTACATATCCTGGGCTTTAATTTCAACAGGACTCGTCATTTATTTATTTTTTTTAAAAAAAATTTCGCTGGTAGGTCTTCTTACTTTTATTTAAGATTATACATTATCTTAGAATATGATAGATGAAAACTACAAATGGGATAACCCAATGTACTTTAAATAAGAAGACTAGGTGATCCGCAAGCCCGGTTGTTGAGCACTAATTTAAATATGAGATTTGCACAAGTACATTCATTATGTGTTGTTTTTTTATTATTCAAGTTTAATATTTAACAGGGTGCGTAGTCTTTTAAATTAGGCTTTTTTTAAAGGTGCTTATTTTCGTTAGGTGTTTTTGAAGAGTGCTTCGTTTTCCTAAATAAATTTTTTTCTTTCTTTGCAATGTCGATTTTTGCTACAAATTAATTTGCTACATTTCCAGCCATTTTATGTGTGTCACGGAATCATTTTATATGTTGCGGGCCCACATGTGCATACACTCAAAAGGATTCAGTGAAAAAGAATCTAGCTTTCACGTGTGCAACTCTGCAACATTTTGTAAGATTCATTATTTCAAGCTTCACCTACATTTTCTGCCCTCTAAAATCGAACCAAAAAATATCTCGAATTTTTGCTGATCATGAGGACAAACCGAACATTGCCAATAATTTTTTTCCCTGATAGAAATTTTTTTTTTTATTTCTTTTGTTAATTTCATCGCTGGTGAAGTACCATATTCTTCGTCACTGGCAAGCTAAGGACGTTCTTGTGCTATTTATAGATCTGTACCATAATTCTTGAACTTGACATGGGGATCATTCACTAATTACATATTTTCTGGGTGGGTCCAGCTCACTCAATAATCACAGAGCTTCATCATCTCAAACTTTTCAACTCTCTTTTATTCGTTTAATTTTATAAAGATTGGAATTAATTAAAATTTTTAATCGTAGGATATTTTACCGGTGGCACCGTCCACTAAATGCATTAAAAAAAAAAATTAAACTTTTTACTGTACTTTATTATTTTTTTCCTTATTACTCTTACTATTATAATATTACTTTTTGAAATTATCGGTGCTCTGAAGTTATTTTCTGAAGAAAAGAACGATAATATTTGGAGACAAGATTTTAAAAAAAAGTATGAAGTGAGGGGTTTTACACTATTTTAACATTTAGCAAATGCAGTAAAAAATCTTAGTTATTCAGATTTACCGTTTTAAAAAAATGTTTAATTCATCTCTTAATTAATAACTATTAAAACAATTGAATTAAATTGATTTAAAAATAAAAATTCTATATTTTCAGATTTGTTTAATATTATGAATGTAGGGACCTTATAATAACTTACTTCTGACTAAATTGTTTTGCTTCAATACTCATTGTATTTACACTACAAAATTATTGAAATTTTTTTAATCGTTTCATTTAAAGAAATACTGAACTAATTTACAAATTTTAATGAAAATTTAAAAGTGGCTATTCACTAATTTACATTTGTAATATGAATTTATTAAGGCTTTCTTAGTTTTCTTAACATATTTCATAAAATCACTATCATCAATAGTATTAATCTTGCTAAGTTTTTTGCTGAATATGCTTTATAAATGACTTTTATTTAAATCTAAAAAATACTCCCGATATTTTTTTATATTATAACTAATTATTATTTCGAATTATTTTTTTTGCACGATTAAATAAAGTAATTATTATAATTTTAAAAACAGAATGAGTGTCTCACTATGAAATATGCTTAAAAATTGTGCATAAATTGTTATTATGGTGGCTAATGTAGAAAAGAGCCCTTTTTTTCTAGAAACTAGTTATTTTAATCTGATTTTGTAAAATCTTTGAAAATGTTTTTGCATTTTGTTGATAAAAAAACATTCAGCAACAGGAAGAAGAAGAAGAATTATTAGTGCACATATCCAAATTATAACATATTTTTTAAAGTGCTTAAAAATATTTTTAGTGCTTAAAAGGTGCTTATTTTTCGTTGGAAATTTTGACTACGCACCCTGTTTAAGATCCTTTAT